TCGTTCCAAAAATATTTTTTAAATCAGCATTTATGTCCTGTTTTCTAAACATCTCTGAAACAATCATACATTTAGGTGAAGCAAAATGTACATTTTTGAAAAAAATATTGACCAATCTTTTAGCTGTCAGGGACATTTTATTAATGATATTAGAAAAGAATGCTTACAGCACCTTTTAAGTGCTTTTTGGGAAATCTGTATAAATTGTTTTTATGTCCTCGGTTATTATTTTTTTTTGTCTTTTTTCAGATACGCAGAGTCAGTGGGGGCAAAACACTATCACACATCAGCCAAATTAAACAAAGGCATTGAGGAGCTGTTTCTGGACCTGTGTAAACGTACGTTATTTTTAAATGCTGTGTATACGGTCAGTCTGTCTGTTTTCCATAACACAACAGGCTTCATGATTAATCAAAATTGTGTATTTCAGAGTGCAACATGGCACTGTTCTTTCACACACAAGCAGCTCATTATGTTTTCAGTAGTGCTGTGAAACGATTAATCGCATCCATAATAAACGTTTTTGTTTATTTTCAGATACGCAGAGTCAGTGGGGGCAAAACACTATCACACATCAGCCAAATTAAACAAAGGCATTGAGGAGCTGTTTCTGGACCTGTGTAAACGTACGTTATTTTTAAATGCTGTGTATACGGTCAGTCTGTCTGTTTTCCATAACACAACAGGCTTCATGATTAATCAAAATTGTGTATTTCAGAGTGCAACATGGCACTGTTCTTTCACACACAAGCAGCTCATGTTTTCAGTAGTGCTGTGAAACGATTAATCGCATCCATAATAAACGTTTTTGTTTTATAATATGTGTGTGTTTTGTGTATATTTATTATGTATATATAAATACACACACATACAGTATATATTTTGAAAATATTTACATGTGTATATAATTTAAATTATGTATAAATGTATTTAATAAATAAACATTTTTTTAAATATATACGTGTGTGTGTGTATATATAAATACATAATAATCTTTTATTTTGGATGCGATTAATTGTTTGACAGTGCTAGTTTTCAGTGTCTCAGAGCGGCTCAGGTCGCAGGAAATGCTGCTCTACAAAACTCATCTCAGCATCTGACTTATACCGTGCATTAGGGAATGCGGCATATGCCAAATTTCTTCCCATGTTAATGAGAAGTGCTTATAAATCAGCTGTTGTATGCCCAAATACAAGCTCATTGGTTTAATGTTTGAAAACGTAATGTCACAATTGTACTGTAAAATATTATATGATATTTTTCTTAAATACACTTAACAGTGAAATATTATAAGTATTTTTTTAAATATTTTATTTAGTATTATTATTATTATTTTATAGTTATTGATAATGATTGATATTGATATTTGCCCAAATTGTGCAGACCTACAAACAAGCACAGCAAACCTGGAGCTTTTTTGTTTTTATTCTGCCAAAGAGAAAGGAAAACTTGAAATCGCATCATATGACCCCTTTAAATCTCCAGAACTATTTGTCAGGATTTCATGCATCAAATCACCAGTAAAATTTCACAGCGGTGTTGTAAACTTTGCTTAAAAAAGGTGTAAAAAAAAAAAAAAAAGCTTTTGTCAAAAAATAAATGTAGACGACGACTTTGTTTTTTTTCCTCAATAATTGTCTTTCCAAAAAAGGTTATTGACTCTTTTAATTGAAAGGTGTCGGTTTCATAAACTAAATGGATAAGAGTCCTACGTTTGACAGAACCAAGGAGGTTTTTAAAACCCTGTCTCACACAGTCATATGAGCGTCATGTAACACTACTTCATAAAGTTCATTACATTTTTTGTATTTTTTATTTTATAGTTCATTACTTATCTGTCTTTAATTTTTGTCATTTTCACTGGCATCTGTAGGCATGATGGAGACAGCTCAGGCAGAGGAGAGGTCAAGGGGGAACGGCACGAGTCACACAAGCACAGCCCGGAGAGGCGTACAGATTGTCGACGACGAGCCCCAGACTGCCATGCCCGCCGGAGGCTGTTGTACTTCCGGTTAAACACACTTACCCCCTTTTACCATACCTGGGACTGATAACGGCCTCTTTCGCCCTCCTCTGTGTAAGAACTGCCACTTCCCACAGCTACACTCACCTGCGACTGCTCTACAGCTCTGTCAAGCCATTTCTTTAACAGTTTGTTCCTTATTGAAAGGGTTGATTTGTAAGTCCATCCTTTGCCGGCAGACTTTAGGGGCCAAAAGATGCCAGATTGACCTGTTGAAAATATTCACAAATTATTACAAATAGGTACCAAACAATAATGTCCAGTCTTATAAAACACACATGCACTGATTCATTTCCCTAACAATCTGATATGTTAGCACTTTTTTTCTTTTGGCAAGGTGTTGTGCATGTAGAATCTTTAAAATCCTAGTTTTATTTTACGTCCAAGAAAAAAAAAAGGAAATTCTTTATTATTTAATAACTTATTTACAATTTCATCAAGCATCTACATGTCCAAAGACCTTTGTACTTGTAATCAATGGGCTTGTGTCATTCTTATACAGTCTCATTCTTCTGGCATTCATATCTTCTGTATCTTTCTTAAAAATGCAACATTAAAATCCATCTAGAACATTTAAACTCCTTGTAGATTTTGTCTTTTCTCTTCAACTTGCTGATTTACCACTATCCAGACTTTAAAAAGGCAAAAAATAAAAATTGTTGTTTGCTTGCTAAATTCTTTATAGGGAAAAAAATCCAATACTGTACTTTTTTCTTTTCAAGCTATCAATTGCAACAGTGAGTCAGAAAAGTGTACAATATTCAATATTAATGTTTTATGAATGTATAATGAATAATAATGGCTGTGGTAAGTGCTTTTTTTTTGGATTTTAGTTTTTTTTTTACTTACTTTTACAATGTTAAAGTAAACATTTGGACAGATTTTGAAAGTACTAATAGTTTCCCCAACCACATCATCTGTAAACACTGAGGTGCAGCTGTGAGCCTTCTGTGCCTTTAAATAAAAATGTCTAGATTGACCTACCTATTGTCTCCTAGCATATATTATTAGAAAAACTTGTTTACTTAATTTCAAAGAGGTTTTAAAGTGGGACAGTTGCATATAACCATGGTTCTAGATCACCAGATGGCATATCTCAGTGACACACCTGAATGTCCTTTTCATTTTTAAGAGCTCAATATAAAAGCTTTCAATATGTGAACTTAATGACATGTATATCAATAAATGTCTGCCTAAAAGTCTTCTGTCAGTCATAGAACCGTGGTTATATGCGTAACCAACATTCTGTTTCCTTGGTTTCAGTTTGCCAGAGGGCTTAACTGAGTGGACAAAAAAAGAATTCGGTCACAAGTGTCTGCTTAATATGCATCTCCCATATATTTTCATTTAATCATTTAGCAGACACATTGCAAATGAGAACAATAGAAGCAATCAGACCAACAAGAAAGAAACCGTATACAAGTGCTTTGACAAGTCTCAGTCTAGCACAGTACACATAGCAAGGTTTTTTTTTATTCTTTTAAATTAGACTAAAACTAATAGAATAGGTAAGTGCATTGACTGGTCAGGAGAACAGCTACTGTCGGATCATCTGGTTACAATAAGAAGTAGAGTTGAGTGTCATCAGCATAGCAATGATAGGAAGAGCCATGCTTCTGAATGACAGATCCTAATGATGACATGTAGATGGAGAAGAGAAGTGGTCCAAGCACTGAGCCTTGAGGAACCCCAGTAGCAAGAAGTTGTGACTAGATTTTCCAATGTAATCGATATTAAAATGACTTACCCAGAAATGACAAGTGCAGTGGGAAAAGTGTCAAAATGTTAAGATGTGTAGTATGTAAAAACACATTTTATTTATTTTTATGGCATATTTTTCCTGTTCTTGTCAGTCTTCAGCAGGTGGATGAAAACCGCAAGACTGTGACTAATGAAATTAAAAAATCTATCTGCAATCTCATAATGGAGATCAACAGGAAGGGGAAGCTATTGGTCAATCAACTTGAGGTAGTGTCCAGTATTTCATCATCAAGAGCAGTGCTTCCCAACTGGTTGTCTTAGGTTATTATGGACTACGTACAGCAAGGAAAAACAAAACCAAATGCTAGTCATAAAACCTTAATAATAGAGCGTAATTGACAAAGTAAAATATAAGCATCCTCACAAACAATAAAAAAAAAACACAAAGTAGAAGAAAATACCAACTAGACTACAATAAATAGGATTTACTTGCAGCAAAACACATGCTATCAGTACAATTTTGGTTAGACATCTAATGGGTTCAGGAAACCCTGCTATAGTGAATGTATAGTGAATACACATTTTTCTAGCAATGCTCGACTCCAAGATATTTCACTGGAAATATTTATTTTCCAATGTAATCGATATTAAAATGACTTACCCAGAAATGACAAGTGCAGTGGGAAAAGTGTCAAAATGTTAAGATGTGTAGTATGTAAAAACACATTTTATTTATTTTTATGGCATATTTTTCCTGTTCTTGTCAGTCTTCAGCAGGTGGATGAAAACCGCAAGACTGTGACTAATGAAATTAAAAAATCTATCTGCAATCTCATAATGGAGATCAACAGGAAGGGGAAGCTATTGGTCAATCAACTTGAGGTAGTGTCCAGTATTTCATCATTAAGAGCAGTGCTTCCCAACTGGTTGTCTTAGGTTATTATGGACTACGTACAGCAAGGAAAAACAAAACCAAATGCTAGTCATAAAACCTTAATAATAGAGCGTAATTGACAAAGTAAAATATAAGCATCCTCACAAACAATAAAAAAACCCCACAAAGTAGAAGAAAATACCAACTAGACTACAATAAATAGGATTTACTTGCAGCAAAACACATGCTATCAGTACAATTTTGGTACACGTTTTTGGTCACCGTTTGATGTCTAATGTAAAATCTTTGTGCTGGAGCTCTGCTATATGGATAACAGCACATGCACAAATGATTCCAGCACTCGAAAACAAAGTCCCACTAAGTAGTGTGCATGTGTCAAATATGTCCAATGTCAATGGAGTGCACTTTCAATGGCTTGCGTGTGTAAAAGAGAGAAATTCTTGCAAATGTACAAGTTATCAACTGGAAATATTCTTGAATCTTTTCTCAGGTTCTTTAGTCGTAGAGAAAACTCCAGTGCGTCATCCCAGCGGTCCACAGCCATTTCCTTTCCAGCAAATGAACCCAGGCCCTAGACCCGACGGTCTTCAGACCGGGTTCCTGAGCTCACAGTCCCAGCAGCAGCAGCAGCAGCGGCAAAGCACATTGGCCCAGCTGCAAATGCAGGTGGAGAAACTCTCCCAGCACACCAACCGCCACCAACCGCCCAACCAGTGGTCATGGTACCATGGCATGCGCTTACCAGGGCCACCTCCACATAGACCCATGCAGGGTGGATCACCCTCTCAGGCATTACCCAGCATGCCTCAACATGGGCGTCGATATGGTGCACGGAGCCCACCACCTGTGCTTCAGCCCACTAACCTACCTCTACAGGTGAAGTGTGATTTTTTAATATTACAGAAAGTTAGAATAATTTCTACAGGATCATGTGACACTAAAGACTGGAGTAAAGGCTGCATAAAATTTGGATTTGCTACCACAGGAATAAATAACATTTTAAAATATTTAATAATAGAAAACGGTTATTTTAAATTATAGTAACATTTCACAATATTACAGTTTTTATTGTATTTTTTATCAAATAAATGCAGCCTGGTTGAAGCTTGGTGAATTATTCCATATTGAATTATTCCTTTTGACTGGTAGTGTACATGTTAATATAATGCTCATTAATGACTGGAAGAACAATTGTGTAATTCTAAACTTGCTGTTTTTTCTTTCTTAAAGACTTTGAGGGGTCTTATCAACAATCCCACCTACCCTGCTAAACCGATGGAGGTGCTGCCAAGAACCCGCTATCCGCACAGTGCTGCTTTCTCCAGTGGAGCTTCACTTCCTTCTCCACAGACGTTCAATCAGGTGAGTGTGCCGGACATCATGTTATCAGCATTGGGTGAAAAGTGTGCCTGCTTGACAGGTTAAAAAAAAAGTATCTTTTATAAAAATTATCGATTGTTTTGAGTGAATTTTAAGAAGTATAAGTGTGCAGTTTTGTAGTGGATCTAATTTGGTAGTGGATTATGGGTAGTTCATGATGGAATCAAATACTGAAACTACATTAATCAAATTGTGACACATAAAGTTTTTATGATTACAGTTTTTATTTACATAATAATGTTTAAGTACAAATATTCTTTGTAGTATCTCAATATAATTACGTTACAGTAGGGCTGGGCATTAAATACGTTCTACGGCTCTGTGTATTAAATGCCGCTCCATCTGAAAGCACGTGCTGGAGATTTACTACTAATCACAGAACCGGCTTTACTGACGAGATGCGCATGACAATCGCATTCGATTATTTGCACAGCCCTAAGTTATAGTATAATTAAGAAAGCAATGTTTCTAAATATTTTGCTGCTGCTTAATCGTATCCAATTGAATAATAATTATAAAATAATAATTTCTAAAAATAAACATCTCATTCTTAAATAATAGGTTGGCTTAATATTATATTTATATTTTGTTTTCATATATTTTTATTCATCACATTCCACGTGCACTGTTTGTTCTCAAGCTTTAAGGGAAGTAATGTTTGTTTGCTTAATACAAGATGTGTATTAAGTTTATACTGTGAAAAACTGATAATTAAATAATTATTGCAACTATTTGTTGTACAATCAATCAGAAAAAATGTAATTGTGTCAACTGTAACCTTTTTTTAATGAAAAAAAAAATACTAGTCCTATCAAACGATTAATCGTGATTAATGGCATCCAAAATAAAAGTTTTTGTTTACATAATATTTGTGTGTATACTGTGCATATTTATTATGTATATATAAATACAAACACACACATGCATGCATGCGCATATATAAGAAAAATGTCATGTTTATGTTAAATGTATTTATATGTAATATAAAATATAAGTATATAAATGTATATACATGTAAATATTTTCAAAATATATACTGTATTTTATATATACATAATAAATATACACATTATGTAAACAACAACTTCTATTTGGGATGCGATTAATCGTTTGACAGCACTAAAAATACAGATTTTTACCTATAGGCCAGAAAGAAAAACATGGAGATGTTTGTTTATTTATTTATTTTGTCAACCACCCATATACAGTATAAATGTTATTGGCCTATGAAAAACTCTTAATAATTTTAGATTTTTAAAATGTTTTTGACTGCATTTATTTGATCCAAAATTCAGTAAAAGCAGTAGTATTGTGAATGTGGAGTAATGTTAGAGTTCTGTGTAAATATATTTTATAATTGAATCAATTTCTGTGATGGTAAAGATGAGTTTTTTCAGCAGCTATTATGACTCATTTGTAATATACATATGCAAAATTCTGTTTGCACTTTTTAAGCAGAACATGCAGGTAACGTCGTACCTGAACAGGAGATTTGATCCCAGCATGCAGCTGTCTGCTCAGAGGCCCAGTTATCAACCCAGTCACCTCTCCACACCTACAGAACGAACTGGTACACTTCTTCAGCAAAAAATATTGTCTGGTATCGGTAACCACCTTGTCTTGTCGATTGGAGACATAAATGCTTGCTGCCTAGTTCATGTTCGGTTATCAAATGCTTTGTTTTATACATTACTGAATATTGTCTTGATTTTATTGAACTTTTAGTACAAGGAAGACAAATGTCCGTCACATCATCAGAACCAAAGACCAGGTAAACATTCTTCCGTTAATTCAAGGTTTTGAGTTCTTTTAAGTCATTATGTGTTTTGTTTTCTGTAGTTAATTCATTAGTTTGTTTTCTGTTAGTTAATCAGGAAATGCCTAACATACAACAAATTTTGCTTTGTGTAGATTTTATGTTGTACTTGAAAGATTTAAGATTAAAACGTGAAAATATCTTATCAACTTGCACTGATGCAACGGAATGGCCAGCATTCGAAATGTAACCAATAGGTATGTCATTGTCAAGTCAAGGATGTAAATGAGAGGTGATGAAAGTGTATCATAGTGTAGATAATTGTTTCCTTAGCGGAAAAGTCTGCAACATTTAATCGCTCCCATTAAATGAATGAAGCTGTTAACATTGCAAGCATATGTAGCTTTATTTATTATAATGAGAGCGATGTAAAGATTACTTTTAGAACTTGTAAAGAAATATTCAAATTGAACTTTTTTTTTCTCTCAACGACTCTCCAAATAAGGAAAATAAAATAGGAAGTTTGATTAAAGCTGTTAGATGAAAGGCTTTTGCAGTTGTGCTGAACCGATTTATATATAAAAATATTTTTAAATAACAGTGTTGTGCATTTACATACTTTTTTTTTTTAAATTAAAATATATATATAAAAAAATGGATTTACATTAGTAATAATTGAAGCATGTCATCACAGTGTGAAAATGTTCCAATCTTTTACTGCCTTGCTGTTTCCTTCACAAAATGCACATCTAATCATTTAGTTGTTTGCTGCTTTAATTTTTTTCCCAAGTTCTGGCCCCTGGAAGCGTGTAGAAGCCCCCCAGAGTGGCCCATCAAACCCCTCCACCAAGAGGAGACGCAGGTCGTCTCCAGGGCCGGTCATTGTCATCAAAGATGAACCAGAGGATGACGGTGAAGTTCATTTTGTAAGATTTTACTCATTCTGCACCAGATCAGAGATGGAATAGATTTGAACATCAGATTTATTCTGATTTGACATCTTAACAACAAAGACAACGTTTTGTCCCCTGTTTTTAAAAGAGCAAATTTAGCAAATTCATGTATTTTGTCAGGTACACACAAATAACAGTTTTTCACAGTATTTTTTTATTTTAATTTTGTGTGTTACTGTAGGTAAACACCAATGCTAAAGCCAGTCTTCCAGACAGCACAGGCGTTCAGTCTCAAACGCCACAAGGTGAGCAGCAATCAGAGAAGACCCCAGAAGCAGATGAAGACCCCAATGAGGACTGGTGCGCGGTGTGCCAGAACGGAGGAGAACTGCTCTGCTGTGACAAATGTCCCAAAGTCTTCCATCTTAGCTGCCATATTCCCACATTGACTGCCTCTCCAAGGTATCGGATTAATCAAAATCATCATTACTCCAGTCTTCAGTGTTACATGCTGATTTGGTATTCAAGAATTGTCATGCCTACTTTGGGATAAATGCAACAAATGTTGAAAACAGTTTTTGCTGCGTAATATTTTTGTGAAAACCGTGATACACTACCATTCAAACGTTTAGGGTAAGTAGGTGACAGTGAAGACATTTATAATGTTACAAAGGATTTCTATTTTAAATAAATGCAGTTGTTTACAATTTCTATTCACCAACGAATCCTAAAAAATTATCATGATTTCCACGAAAATATTGAGCAGCAGAACCGTTTTCAACATTTGTTGCATTTATCCCAATGTAGGCATGACAATATCGTAGAGATGTAAAGATATAAAAATCTCACGATACAATAATGTCACGATACGATATTTATTGCGATATTTTAAAAAACCGATAATTGAAGATTTAATTTTGGTTAGTTTTTAACAAAAACTTATTTGTTCGAATTAAATAAACAATAATGAAGTTCTTTTATAATGAGATTACATTGAAAGCTTTGAAAATAATTATAAATCAATCCCTTTTTTTCCAGTCAGATGCAGTGGTCACCTTTAACATTTTATTTAAAGATTGAACATTTGTAGATGGTCTAAAGAAAGAGTTGTTAACATTCTGAAAATCTTTCAGAGCTCATAATCTGTTTGGAAAAAAAGAAAAGAAAAAAAAAACATTACACATTAATAAATAAATCTGTTTATATAAAATTATTTCATTTACAAGTGTCATGTTTGTGATTTTTATTCATGTAAGCTATATCTTCTGACCTTTAAATCAAAGCATACTCATGATTTTAGAACCTCAGTTACTGCTTTATTTAATCAGAAACACAATCTTAATGTTATTTGTATATTTTACTTTCATTTTATTTAAATTTTAAGCCATTATCGGCCAATTCCGATATCGTTCCGATAATATCATGCATCTATAGCTCCAACCCATGTTCTTAACTAAGAAATCTTAAGTCAGAAAAAAGTCAGCGAATTTACTTGAACTTTAAAGGGGACTCTTATTATTTGTGATATACTGTCTCAGTCTAAATTACATTCACACTGGTGTTTTAGGAAGCCAAACAAATTAGAATATAATAATAATAGCAACAATGACAGTAATAGCCATATATTGTAAAACAACTGCACTGTAAAATAAATTTAAATTAATATTTCATAGTAATATGAATTATATTATTTTTGGTTCACACTACAGTAGGGAAATTACAATATTTCTTTCCTAATTTCTACACTTCAAAGAGATATTTTGAATTTGGACTGCCTTTAAACCGCTAGCTGTCAGTAATTCATACGGCACTTTTAAGCTTTTATTTTGACGGAAATGGCAGTAGAGCTTTTATTTCGAAGTTAACTCCAGCTTCAGTGAAAACAGGCTTACAAAAACGCATCTTACTACAAATCTAATGAAATGCTGTAATCATCTGCCAAGAAAATTAAGCCTAACTGATAGCTGTTGAGTTCCCAAACCTGCCTTAAACTCACAGCACATGCAATAAACCAGTTCACTGCTTTCATTCACGGAAAACACCAGATCACGAGCTGATCGCCTCAACAATGTGTGCGCTTCACTTTGAAACGTGCAGCAAAAACAGACTTGATGAAGGGATTAAGCCATATTATGCTTTGTGTTATAGTTCATTTGACAGATACTGTGCCAAAGCATGGCCCAAAACACAACTTTAAAGACCTTTTATGTTAGAATAAGTAGTTTAAATGTATTTTAAAAACTACGCTTTTTGCCTGGAATACCTATCATTTCATATCGTCATGTGACCACGATAATATCTAATATAATATCTGACATAATAGAGTTTTGCTATCGCGATATCACGATATTGGTCATATCATTCCATCCCTACAATATCATTTTTCATTTAAAATTTGTATTTAATGTAAAATTTTCTACAAAGATTTTGAGCATGGTCACCCTTTTGCTAATATGCAACAGATGTGATTGTAGTTTTCTTCTATTAATTCTACTGTAGTTATGTGTTGTGTTTGTGTGTATCTGTAGTGGTGAGTGGTATTGTACGTTCTGCCGTGACCTTACCTCACCTGAAATGGAGTATAACGACAGTGGTAGCGGAGAATCGAACAATGTGAAGCAGGATCCAGATTCTGAGGCTTTCGCTCCTGTGGATAAAAGAGTATGAACTGATTTCAGTTAACTAACTAATTTAACTTAACTCATTTTTCAATTAGTTCTGCTTTATTTTAGATGTCACTTTAGAACTATTAAGTTTAAAATATCTTTTAAAATGGCTGCAATTATTTGTTGTGTTCATGCAGAAATGTGAGCGACTGCTGCTTCGTCTTTACTGCAATGAGCTCAGCACGGATTTTCAGGAGCCTATAACACCATCGGTAAGATCTTCTATGGCATTCTAGATACATGAACTACGTTTATTTTCATTGGGGAAATAATTTAAAAATAAAATAATTTAAACGTGTGGGTCAAATTTCAATTCGAAGAAAAACAGTAACTGCATCCCAAATGACACACTATACACTGTACTTGTACACTCAACCATGTAGTCTATGAATTTTATAAGGTTATTTTGTTATTAATAATCGGGAGTCTGATAGCCCCTCCCCCTTTGCGACATAACTAAAGCTGCGAGTGCAGAGATGGAAACTTGAGTCTGCGACTTGGACTCGAGTCACACTTGAAGGCAGAGTAAGTGATTTCTGGTAGCCAATTTTGATATTTGAAATCACCAAAACAAACACTCCCCTACCCCAAATGGGTCTTGCCTCTATTTTGATAGCTCCACCCCACATATACGTACACAACCCAGGCAACGATTAGTTCTGGGAAACAAAGCAAAACCAATGTGTGTCTACGGATGTGAGCGGCGCGGCGCAACAAATCCCCGACAGAAAACTGCTGCGGGGTTCTATTTATGACGTGCTGACACAAATTTCGAATGGTTTTCAGCGGTCGTTTGATCGTGTCCAGTGTAGGCAGACTTTAGCTGTTGTAGACACGGTGTTACTCACCTATTGAGAAGAAACAAAGCAACCTCGGCGTCCGATCGCAGGCCTCTGCTCCTTGAGTTCTCTCCAGCGCTGGAAAGCTGATCCGATATTTACACGGGTCCTACTTCTTGCCTTATCGTTCCGCAGACGTTTTCCTCTTGTTTTTTATCCGCCATCTCTATCGCTCGGCCTTGCTAATGTCCGTCCCATGCACTGGAAGCTCTCTCCTCCACATCACGAGTAGACACGCCCCTTATTGCTGATTGGCTACAAGTTTGTTTTGCTATTCGGCCCGAATCAGTTTTCTAAATTGTTTTTGAAAAATCACATACCCTGCCTTTAAGTCGCATAAATAGAGACTTGCGACTTGACTTGGACTCGTGAACAGCTGACTCGAGACTTGACTTGGACTCGTGACTCGTGAACGCGTTCATACAACAGCGTTCATAAGTGTGGTGCTGTTTTGTTTACAGCAGAAACCAAGGAAACGCTGTATCGTTGGTGTTGTAAGCGCCACCTGCTGGCAGAGAGTGAATTTGCGTTCATCAGCCCGTCTACGGTTTTGTTTCGTGCAGATGTTTTATGTGCTATAGTTTCACAAATCTGAAGTCAGACCATTCTGTTTTTGCCTCAAATTTCGAAATCATACAATTCAATTCCGATTAAAAACTGCTCTTTGTTTGGATACAGTGGTTGCCTCCAATTTTAAATGGAAAGACCACAGACAAAGCCTTACTTTGTTTATATGAAGAGATTAAATATGAATATAACAGTTGAAACTAACCATAATTTTAAAATGAGTTTTTCCAAAAATAATTGCTTTTAAATAAATAAAAAATTGAATAGTATAAAATGCTAAATTAAGGATGACCATAAATAAGGAGTTAACCAACAATAAGAATTTTGACTGATTAATATATAAAAAAAAAAAAAACAAGATCACATACAAGTACAATTTTATTGCTACATTCAGAAATAATGTAAAATACCGGTAAATAAAATGAAAGGTTTAAAAATTTTCTGTATACAATTAAATGATGATTTCCGTAAAAGTTTGTGTGCTTTATTAGACAGTTTTGAATAAATGAACAAGACATTCAGTAAAAGTAGCTGAAAGAACTATTGCTAAAAATAGAACAAAGACTTGTGACTTGGACTCCACTGTAAAGACTTGAGACTTGGACCTCAGAGACTTGAGAACATGTCTGGTTGAGTGCATGAAGTGTCCAACATTCCACACTTTAATTTTTTTGGGTTATTTAAGTGCATCGTCCAGGTTTTTGAAGTGCGCTTTTTCAGTGTGAACACACTACTCGCACTATTTATACTACAAAACGTCATAGAATAGTGCATAAGTATGCGATTTGGGATGCACCTAGTATTTTGCATAAAGAAAATTGAGCCTGTTTTGTGAAATATATGATAATATGGTAATCTAGTATTTTTGCATGACATTATCTGTGACATTATTGTCATGATAATTAAGTATAATAGGAAATCTTAAATTAACGGGAAACTAAATAATTTTCATTGCATGTTAAAATATCTATACATTGAGTAGTATTTTTACTGCCTTCAATTAATGCTGATTTAAATAAAAACTGAATTAATAAATATGCAAATCATTGTGTTTGGAAGGGTATTGAGAATGTTTTTTTTGCATTACAGAAATTAGAATTTGGAAAGGAAAATGTGCTTAATTGTCATAAATGCCACTGTACAAAAATGTGTTAATTCATGTCAGTAAGCAGAATATAATTTCTTATGTTTTTCTTCAGATTTTGGGGTGACCCAGATATACTTACTAGTAGGGTTTGGATCAAAGCTTTAGTTTTGTTTTTTCATTTAATGATAAAGACTGTTTTCTGTTCTGTCCCTTGTTCACGCCCCAAATTTGATGCCAGTCGATGCCAGAGTACAGTGAGATAATAAAGACACCAATGGACCTGTCGGTGATCAGAAGCAAACTGAAGGACAGCAATTACAAGAGCACTGAGGACTTTGTTGAGGATGTCAGGCTGATTTTCAAAAACTGTGCAACTTTCCACAAGGTATGCTGCCTCGCATTGATTTACAATATTGTTTTCAAGATATAAGGGATGATTCTTCAATTAGGGGAACTTTCTGTCTAGTAAGTTGATTTTAAGAAAAAAAGCATAAAAATAGTTTTATTAGATGGATTATACATAGCTTTAAATTGGGGCTGCACGATAAATATTGCACTGTTTTATCTCGTCAGTAAAGCCGGTTCTGTAATCGGCGATAAATCTCTACACGTGCGTGCTTTCACGTGGAGCCGCATTTACTACACATAGTCGTTGTTCACTGACAAGCTACGCAAAACATGCGCAAAATATGATCGTGGTTTTGCGCAGCTTGTCAGTGAACAACGGCTCTGTGTAGTAAATGCTGCTCCACGTGAATGCACGCATGTGATGGAGATTTACCGCTGATTACAGAACCAACTTTACTGACGAGATGCGCATTAAATATCGTGCGATATTTATCGTGCAGCCCTACTTTAAATGTTTTATGTTATTTATTCATTTATTTAGGGCCAACCTTTTCATACCTTCCATCTATAGTGACGTTTTAAATTCACAAAACTTCTACTTTTCATTTTTCTAAAAACTTGTAACATCAAATCGTTTTTCTTTTCCAGTTAATTTGGTATTTGTGTACAATTGTTTTTGTTTGTTTGTTTTTTAAATAAAGAATCGCCGTCCAATAGACTGATATCATTACCATTACATTCAGTTCAGTAAGATTTATAGGTTAATTGACTGCTAGATAATGTGTTGTTAACCAAAGGCTGTTCGAAGGTTGTGATAAATGTTTTAACAGTTTAAAGGGTTAGTTCACCCAAAAAATTCTGTCATGTACTTAACCTCAGTTGTTTCAAACCTATATGAATTTCTTCTGAACGGTGGTACAAACAGTGGTACAGCTTGAATGAGGCATATCACAATGTGACGTGTAATGTTGTGTATTCACGTTGTTTGTAGGAAGACACTGAGATGGCCAATGTGGGTGCTAATCTGGAGAGTTACTTTGAGGAACAGCTGAAACTATTGTATCCAGACCGGACATTTCCTGGCGTGAAGGAGGAGAGCGTTGCTTCTTTGTGTCCTGATGATACAAGTCCCTTATCAAAGACGCCTCCACAAGACACTTCCCCTGCTGAGGAGATTGTGAAACCCTCCAGTGAAGATCTCCCTCAGGGAGAACCGCACACTAAAGACATTGAGAAGAAGCCAGAGAACTTAAGCTCTCCTGCAGGATCCAGTCCAGCAGATGCTGAAACGGACAGTAAAGCAACTAAAGATCCAACTTCCTGAAAGAATCTTCCTTGTTCATCCTCTAAAGACTGGATGGTGACATGCACTTTCCTAGAGTGTGAAACCTCTGGTTCAACTGCAATAATTATACTGTACATTTTAATTGTTTTAAGCATTTGGAAAATAGACAGTTTGACCACTAAAGATGTAATATAACAATGCAATGTGGAATATAGGCATAATAAATACCTATATGAATACATCTAAAAGATGTCCGTTTGAATTTTTGTTTTAGTCATGTGCGGAAATGAAAGATGGCAAATTACATAGTTCACGTTTAAATTATAGTTCACTCGGGGAAAAAAAAAAGGTTGTTTATTTAGTTATTTTCTGTCAAACACAAAAGTAGACATTTTTGAGTCACTGCTCTTATCCATATATAGTGAGAGTGCATGATGTCTGTCAAGCTTCAAACAGAACAAAAACATTTCTCTACAACGATAACATTATGACTGTGTTCATGTCCAGATTACAAATCCAGCATCACACACACACTAATTTAAAACCATGAGACTGCTTAAGTAGTTATGGTTTGAGGCATCAAAATAGACAACAAATAGAAGTATAGGAAATATGTAATGACCTATATGAATAACATACTGTACATCGAGGTTATTGTGATTGACCCACTACCAACATAAGAATACTACAATAAATGTGTTAGCCTTGTCCACAAAACCATAATCAGACACATATTAATTTGTAACATAATCAGGCATTTAAGTAGCCTTTAGATCAAAAGGTTTTTAGGATCATGAAACAAGTGTTTTAATTGTATACACGTGTACAATTGAATTTCAAGCATCAAGAGGATAAAGGGGAAGCTAGTACTTCTTTTTAATTGGCCAACAACACTCTTAAAAATAAAGGTGCTTCCCGATGCCATAGAATAACTTTTTTGTCTAAATGGCTCTATAAAAAACCTTTAACATCTGAAAAAACTGTTTCACAAAAGGTTCTTTGTGGCAAAAGGTTCTTCAGATTATAAAAAGGTAAGAAAGAGATGGTTCTTTAAAGAACCTTTGAGTGGTTCTTTGTGGAACCAAAAATGGTTGTTCTATGGCATCGCTGTGAAAAACCTTTTAAGCACTTTTATTTTTAAGAGTGAAGATTATTTCCATATATCAGTAATCACATAATGCCTATTATTGTCTAAATGGCTTGGCTAAAAGCTGAGTTAGCTTTCTAAAACCAGTTTTCCATGGTAAGAATTACATTTTGGAATTAAAATGCAAGTTTTACAAACAATTTTACTGAATAGTGATGGGAGAAAAATAGTTTTTTGAAACCGAAACAATGAAATTAATTGCTTCACTGAAAGACTAAACATCACATGCTAGCGACATGTTACTGCATGTTAAGACACCTTTCACAAACCAATTGCAAATGTTCTCTTGAAAGAGTCTAAGTGTAATTTACAAATAATTAATTGTCTGTAGAATTTCTGTTCTTTTATTTATGGTGGTGGTTTTGTGTGTTTTTAGACTGGGCTTGGCTAACTAGGACAATTTGACAATTAACTATTACATATACATGTACATTTAGTCATTTAGCAGACGCTTTTATCCAAAGCGACTTACAAATGAGGACAATGGAAGCAATCAAAATCAACAAAAGAGCAATAATATGCAAGTGCTATAACAAGTCTCAGTTAGCTTAATGCAGTACACGTAGCTAGGTCTTTTTTAAATCATATAATAAATAAAAAAGAAAACGGATAGAATAGAAAAAGAATAGAGCAAGCTTAGAGGCCTTTTGCATTTGTTAATTGTATAATAAATAAAAATGTGTTTTTAGCCAATTCCTGAAGATGGCTAAGGACTCAGTTGCTCGGACTGAGTTGGGCAGGTCATTCCATACTAATATATATATTTATTATACATATTACTATATATAATACAACTATTTCTCTATCCTTGTATATTACATGCATATTTATTTCATTTCATAAAATGTATTAAAAATCTATTCCACATTATAAAAGTCACCCAAAGTAAAACCACACTTGTTTGTGGGTTCAACAAATTAATGCCTTCTAGAAGTGAACCATCACCAAATATTTTGAAACTTACCCACCGGCTCCTCATGTTGACCATCATGTTCCACCTGCTGTAAGTAAACCTGTGGTCACTCTTTTGCCTTCAAGTCAAGTCACCTTTATTTATATAGCGCTTTTAACAATACAGATTGTGCCAAAGCAACTTTACAGTATTAAATAGGAAAATAGTGTGTCAATAATGCAAAATGACAATAAGTTAAAGGCAGTTCATCATTGAATTCAGTGATGTCATCATCCAGCTCAGTTCAGTTTAAATAGTATCTGTGCAATCAAGTCAACGATATCGCTGGATATTAAGTGTCCCCAACTAAGCAAGCCAGAGGCGACAGCAGCAAGGTACCAAAACTCCATCGGTGACAGAATGGAGAAAAAACCTTGGGAGAAACCAGGCTGAGTTGGGGGGCCAGTTCTCCTCTGACCAGACGAAACCAGCAGTTCAATTTCAGGCTGCAGCAAAGTCACATTGTGCAGAGGACTCATTTGTTTCCTGTGGTCTTGTCCCGGTGGCCGTCTAAGAGACAAGGTCTTCACTGGGGATCTGTATCTGGGGCTCATCTAGTTGTCCTGGTCTCCGCTGACATTCAGGGCTGTAGAGGTCTTCTCTAGGTCCTGATCCACCATCTGGGCTGGATACGTACTGGATACGGGTGACTGCAGTGACCATCTGATCTGGATACAGACTGGATCTGGTGGCTATGGTGACCTCGGAATAAGAAAGAAACAGACTAATATAAGCGTAGATGCCATTCTTCTAACGATGTAGCAAGTACATCGGGTGTTATGGGAAGTGTTCCCGGTTCCGGTTGTCTTAATTAATGCAGCCTAAAAATCCTTTAATGGATTTGAATATTAGAAATGTGTTAGTGTGTTATGTGTAAGCCAGGTTAAAGAGATGGGTCTTTAATCTAGATTTAAACTGACAGAGTGTGTCTGCCTCCCGAACAATGTTAGGTAGGTTATTCCAGAGTTTGGGCGCTAAATAGGAAAAGGATCTGCCGCCCGCAGTTGATTTTGATATTCTAGGCATTATCAAATTGCTAGAGTTTTGAGAACGCAGTGGACGTGGAGGACTATAATGCAATAAGAGCTCGTTCAAATACTGAGGTGCTAAACCATTCAGAGCTTTATAAGTAATACCCTTCCACCTCAAATCCTTACTCACCTTCTTCCTGGCTGGACCCTCTTTGTTTCCTTATTCATCTTCCATTGTCAGAATGTGCTCTATATGCTTGAACCAAAACAACTGAGAAAAACTGTAAGTTCCAAAAAATCATTGAGTGGACTATATAGTAATATATAGTATCCTCATGTAGGGAATAGTGAATGAGGGTAAAGAAAACGGTTTGGTTTCACTTTATTTTGATGGTCCTTTAACACATTCTGTTGACTATAAGTAATGTTGCACAAAACATATCTACTAACTATCACTAGAGTGTCACTAGAGTATTAGTAGAGTGGTAGGGTTAGAGTTAGATTGAGCTGACATGTTCTTGCAAAGTTATTTATAGTCAGTCTGTTGGGAGACCACCACAATAAAGAATTAGCAGATATTAATTATACTATTATATATTATATTAATACTCTAATGAGAGTTAGTTGACATGTAAGTGCAAGGTTCTATTGTCAACAGAATGTTCAAAAGAGACCACACTGTAAAAAATGACCGTGAATTTAATGGTAAAAGACTGTAAAAATGCTACAGAAAAAACCTGTTAAATGGTTAACGGTAAATTCCCCTACTATATACGGTGAAAAACTATATTGGACATTACATGTATTGGACATTCATTTTACGGTAGTATACCATTTTTGGAAGTGAAAAAGACTGTATAATTTACAATGAATAACTGTAAATTGACATTCCCAGAATTCCCTGCGTTACATTTCAAATGTGATGTTTTTTTGTTGAAATAACTGTTTCTTCTTAGTTTTTTCTTATCAGTTTTGTATATTAGGGTTGTGTGTTACACCTAATGTTGTTAAATGAATGTTTATTGCATTATTTCAGTTTCATGTGTGTTACCATGATGGTGTTTGGTGTTTGTGTGAATGACACTGTGCATCTATATATATGTTATTATTTAAAAGCTGCTTGTGATGGGCTTTGGTTCATCATGTGACTTTCTCATTCCCACCTGCATTGGGTGGTTATCAGTGTATTACAAAGGTACAAAACAGATTTCAGTACTTCAATAAGGTTGGTATATTAACATTATATCAGTTAATGAAATTACGGTATTTAACTGTAAATTTAAGTTAAAACCGTAAAACCTAAAACGTTGCTACCGTATTTTTTACGGTAAAATTCCGGCAACCACAGCTGCCATTTTTTTTACCGTAAATTTTACGGATTTTTTTTTTTTTACAATAAAGTGTTACCAACTTTTCTTTAAAAACTTTTTTTTTTAAATTCAGTTACAGGTTTTTCGTGTTATTTTACATTAGACAAGTACATTTACAGTCTAACATTTTCAATCTGTAAAATAAATTGTAAAACTACTGTAATTACAGTACTATTGCTTATCATCTGCTCCAAAGTCTTTGAGAGAGAAACTATCACTCAGCAGGCTCATACAGCCTGCTGTTTTGATGCAATACTGCCTCCTTGTGACTACATTATATGGTAAACTATAACAGACAAACTTATGAATGGAGTACAGTTTCTTTACTTCATTAATACACTCTTTCACTTCAGTCTAATTGGCTGTATTTGTTAATTACCACAAAGTTGTGCATCAGAACTGTGACACAGTGGGGTAGGGCACTAGCTCAAGACACATTGGAACTGTGGTGCTCCCGCAGGTTTGAGTCTGAGCTGCATAATTTCCTGGTTCCTCCTCTGTCTCTGTTCACTCATGTGAATTAAAAACAGAAAAGATCATGAACATAGAAGTGTTCAAAACTAAGTTGTGGTTACAATGCGATAAATAGGAATGTCACAGTATCACTCTTTTTAGAGAACAAGTATGATACCGACACTTACTTATACTTGCCAATACTGATACCTGGATAAACATTTTTTTAAATATAAAATATAGAAAACATGCATTTTGTAAAAGTAATGTGACCATAAACTCATACAAATTGTTTCCTTTTGAATGCAGATTTGTGACATGTAAGATTAGAAAGGTAGATGTGTAGAGTTAAATCAATTTTGTGAGTTCAGTTAAAGTTAGCTTTATAATAATTTAAAATTATAATATCACAATAGGCCTAATCTGTGATTTCACGGTAACATCCTCACGTTTACTGTATTCTGGAGTATTGCAATTTGAGACACAATCTGGACCCCTCAGGTGTAAACAGGGCCTGTGTGTATTTTTAATGCTGGAAAACTGGTATTGTTCGTATTCCTGGAATGATCGTGGTTTGACTGGTTATGAAGAAAAACATTTCTAGTCCCAGACAAGTTTGAGGGCTTCAACAAGTCGCCACATCAGAGGAACAAGAAAAGTCATTATTCATGGATAGCCTATTTCAATTTGTGATTCTGATCTGCCTATAAGGTACTGCGCATTACAGTTTAGTTTCACTTTTGGTTTCACTCAGTGCAAACAATCGAGTAACATGCATGCAGGTCGGGTGCTTCATTTCATCATTTTAAACTAAAATGTCGTATTTGAATTTAATTTCGTGGTTCATATAATGCTTAAAATAGGCCTGTTGAACATGTCCAATGTACAAAAGCAAACTGTACTACTAACAGTGTAACGTTAGGCTATATATATGAATGTGAACACGTTGCGGTGATAGTTTTTACGGGTCAGTTGGCGTCTTAATATCAAAGTTACTTTGACGCGAACTGTGTAACGTTAGTGTTTGCATAAAGTTGAACTCATAACTTTTCAAAATATCCGCTTGTCGTGATGTGTATCGAATAGCTACGTCCAAGTCTAGTCCGTTTCAAGTGTGTATCTCAAAAGCGGTTAACTGTTTATTTATAGCACACCTTTAATTAATCTACGTTTTTAATAACTCACCGCATTGTAGCCTACACAGTCTCCGCACTCGTCGTGTCCTAGACAACATTTGAACAGATTCAGAAAAGATTCCAACTGAGATTTCGGTATAGAGAATCATGATGTGGTTTTCGGGAGTAGGGCCTACGTTACTACAGACAACGCAACCACGGGTGTATATTAGCAGCGTTTATATTTTTTGGTATCTAATGTAGGCTTTGGACTAAGAAACGATCATGTTTGAAATATTCTGTAAGACGCGCAGCGAGGGAGGCTGTATTGATATGTGACCCTGAACCACAAAACCAGTCTTAAGTGTCAATTTTTCGAAATCTGAATAAATAAGCTTTCCATTGATGTATGGTTTGTTAGGATAGGACAATATTTGGCCGAGATACAACTATTTGAATAGGCTATCTGAAATCTGAGGGTACAAAAAAATCTAAATATTGAGAAAATCGCCTTTTAAGTTGTCCAAATAAAGTCCTTAGCAATGCACTAATTAGCTACTAAACAAAACTGAAGTTTTGATATATTTACGGTAGGAAATTTACAAAATATATTCATGGAACATGATCTTTACTTAATACCCTACTGATTTTTGGCATAAAAGAAAAATCGATAATTTTGACCCATACAATGTATTTTTGGCTATTGCTACAAATATACCCCAGCACTTGAGACTGGTTTTGTGGTCCAAGGTCACATACAGGTGCATCTCAATAAATTGGTAAATGTTTGTGGCTTATCCTCCTTGTGAAGGGTGTCAATGATTGTCTTCTGGACAACTGTCAAATCAGCAGTCTTCCCCATGATTGTGTAGCCTAGTGAACCAAACTGATAAACCATTTTGAAGGCTCAGGAAACCTTTACAGGTGTTTTGAGTTGATTAGCATGTCAAATATGAGCCAAAATCACCACAATTAAAAAAAAACAAAGACTTAAACTTCTTCAGTCTGTGTGCATTGAATTTATTTAATACACGAATTTCACAATTTGAGTCATTCGCAAAGCTTTTATTGTGGAGAAGACAGAGACATGGTCATAAAGCAGGCAGGGTCAAACAGAGGCAGACAGGTATATGGCAGGCAAAACACAAGAATAATCCTAGGGCTAGTGTGGGTTTGACTGGTTCTGGTGGCCACCACGTAGACCACCACGGCGGAGCAGAGGACCACCAAAGCCAGACAGTAGACCACCACG